TGCTACAAGCCTCCTAGCATCACTTTGTAGTGTTAGATGGGCAGCACATAAATTTGATGAATAAATAAATAAAAATAAATAAATAGCACCTCCTACCAACAATTGTTTGTGCACTATTTTTCTTAGTCATATTTTCTTTCTTTTTGTGTTCTCATATTCTCTAGCTTTGTGTACCTATGTGCCCACTACTCCTGCTGATTTTGATGATATACCTTATTTTTCACTCCATAAGATGCACCTGACCATAATACACACCTAGGTTTCGAGGAGGAAAAGATGAAAAAAATATGAATATGGAGCACTGTCTCACTGTGAATATGGAGCACCAAATATGGAGTAGCAGTGTAGTGAGGGCAGGAGGCAGAGCCTGGGAGGACCACAGATAGGTGTCCTCTCATGTGCCAGCTCTATTGACTCCTGCACTGTGGAAAAGAGACAGAAGAGGTGGGGTTCAGCACTGTAAAAGGACCACGCCCCTGCAGCCCGGCTGCTATTCACCATATTTGCTCCATAAGATGCACAGACATTTCCACCCACTTTTTCAGAGGGGAATGCATTTTATGGAGCGAAAAATACAGTAAATGCCATTATACTATGGATTTGACTTGAAGATCTTACAGAAGAGGAAATTCTGATTGGTCACCATAGCCAACTAGATAATCATATAGTACAGTATATTGCAGAATGTAGATAATACTAAGAAACCACAAGGGAGAAATATATGCTGATTAAAGAAATAGGCAAAGAGCTCATCCGCATAGCTAGTTATTGCCATACTTTCCTCCCATCCTAGAACTAAGAGGAAATCCTGACCTTAGATTTTCAGATTAATACATTATGCCAATGATGGCACATGGTCATCATAACAAAATGCCTTATTGGAGTTTCATCTTGCATGTTTTCCCATTGCTCCAGCTTAAATTATGAATAAGAATGACAGCGTAATGTTTCAGTCTGATCATCTTCCATTCTCTATTGTGTCTTCCCCACTTGTTTCTAGGGCTTCCTGTTTGCCACAATTTTCTCTCTCACTGCCTCATAATCTTAATGATTTACTGAGTTAAGACCCATGTCTTTATTTTACAATGAAGATTGCTAATTTCAATTTGATGAATATTTTCAAGATCCAGAATTTTCTCAGGGAGAAGACCATGGCTGTTCCAATGCGTGCTTTAGTTGTGTCTTCCCAATATCTTTTTACAAGCCCTGAGGTTAATCTAGTCTTACAGATTGACTGGACCTTCCTGTTTTCTCATATTTCATTACACTCCAAAGTTCTTCAGTTTTTCAAGCCAAAGGCCAATTTGAAGCTCTGATGCTTTTATTCATAGTTCTCCAGACATAATCAAAAGTATCTGTCTGTATTTCTCCCTCCTGCTCATTATAAAAGTCCTTCTTTTGATTGTAACTTCCAGGACACAGTTTCACATTCTGGGGTTCAGGGATCTGGCCTTGGAACTCTGGAATCAGTTCCTTCCCTTCCTTTCCTTTGTCTCTATGAAAGAAGTCTGATTTGGCAGATTACTGCAAACACTCAGCATTTGGTCAAAACAGTGGTGATTTAGTCCCTGGGACACTCAATACATCTGTCTTAGGTTACTACCCTTGAAGTAATGTGGTAGACATTAGACATGAGTGAAGGTAGATAGGGGAGATGTTTGGCAGTGTCAGTATAAAAACGTACTTCTAATGAACCCTTTAGAAAGACTCCTTATTTCTCCTTCTCTCTTCTCTAATTTATCATTCCTTTCCCATAGTATTCAGATTAATCTCCATGGATCTGTCCAGTGCTTAATCCCTGACCTCTTGCTGCTCATACAAACCACGTCCAATCCATAATTCCAACCAAATGAAAAGTTGCCCCAAATCAGTAGAAAGTACAGAACCATCAGTATAATAGTTTCTAAATCTGAACAGATAGTGGTAATAAATAAATGTGACAAATACAATCAAGTTGATTGGTCTAAGGCAGGGGTGTCAAACTCACGTCACGGTGGCGGCACATGACATATCGGGACTTTTTTCCTCCTTCGCTAAACTCTTGTGTGGACGTGGCCAGCATGTGACACATCCAGCTTGTGGGCCAGTTTAAAGTATTGTCCTGTATCATGTTTTTGAGTAAGAATGAACACACACACACACACACACACACATCTACCCAGAAAGAAAATCAGCTGTACAGCATAGGAGAGCAATAACATACATCCAATAAAGAGCAATAAAACATAAGATTTAAAACAAAACTAATGGGTAACCATGGTAAAAGTTCAGTAGTCTTTAACTGTCACTAGAAAGACATTCATATGGCTTTCAGATGAATCTCCTTGATGAGGACATTCTATTTCAAGTGACAGATTAAAAGACATTTCTCCAGATGGCACTCATCATTTCAGAAGAAAATGATCATGGAGCCCAAAGGAGAATAAGCTAAAAAAATAAAAGTACTTATGATGGTCTAGAAGTGATCTGTATGAGTGCCAGAAAACTTTTATAGCCTTCCTATAAAATGTATCTGTACCAAATATTTGAAAGACTGGACTAATCATATCTCAGATGTGCAAACTAAAATTTCATTAGTGTTTTAAAATCAGGCCACAGGTATAATAAACCAGGTGTGTAAAAGAGTTTTGAAGGTGACATTTTGGTCAAAGAATTCTACTTAGTCACAGACTGACTTTCTTTATGTGTTAGTTTGAAAGGTTTTCAGATCATGTTAGCTAAATTGTGATAAAATAAATTATGAATACATTTATTATAATATATTCAGTAGAATCAATTACTTAGGATAATTAATCTGAAGAAACCTTTGAGGGATTCTTTGGGTCTTCAAGAGAAAATAGATTAAATATAAGAGTAATTATTATTCTGAAAGTACGGCTGCTTAAATGGGAGAACTGAGTCAGCCTGATAAAGTAATGCCAGCTAATAAGGAGCAAATTAGAGTTACGAGGATGCTAGTAGCAGGGTGGAATAATTTGATGCTGTATGTCTGAATTTCAACCCTTTTGCCTAACAGCATTTATTCTTTATCCTAGTTATTGAGTAACAATCACTTGTCTGTCACTATAATGGAGAGGGCAGAGGTTGTTCTGTTTCCTTGATATAGTCATACTCATTCTTTAATTAAAACTGACTTGTCCCATTGATTCTTGTTGTCAGTCTAATTGGGGATCTTGCCAAGGTTGACCTGTTGCACTATAATTCCAGATTAGCTGTAATCATTTAAAGTCTACATTTTTGTGCTTTTTAATACAAAGATTCCCACATCACCTTCTTGTTCTTGTTTTATTGGTTTCTTCTTGTTTTTATACCCTTCTAAACAGAACTCTACCAAACATGCTTAATAAACTAATTCCATGGTAGTTTTATATTCCTTTTGCCAATTTTCCATTTGTATAAGAAAGAAATACCATGTTTCCAGTTGTTAGGGTCAGATATAGTCTTTCTAGTCTTGTCAAACAAGTTTCACAGTCACTCTATATTTTAAGATTCCTTCAGCCTTATTTCAGCCCGACCACTTTTCAACATTTTCACAGCATTAATTACTTCCTTTTCATCCATTTTTCTTGGATGCTAAGAACTGTAGCATTTATTTGAATTCTACTCATTAATGTATCATTATTTAAATACAACTCTCTGAAATTCCCATTCCAGTATTCCCTCACTTCAGTTTCTTTCAGAATCATGTCATCACTTTTATGTTTAGTTCACTTCATTCAGTGGAAGTTCCTTTTTTAGTTCTTTTCAATCACTTCCAGTTTTTAATTTCCATCATCAAAATCACACTGCATTTAGATGCCTCTTTTAGTCTTCGCAGGATTGCATTTAAGTTTCTTGCTATTTTTGATTATATTCTTTCAACTATGTTTTTCTCTATGTATATGCATTATACAATATCCTTTCCTCATATTTGTCTTTTCCACCATTTTTACTTATTAATTCTATCAAGCAGTCTTAATTCTACAGAATTCTTTTCTTACTCTTCAAGTAGCTTTTATATCTTCTCTCTTTTCTTTCACTTGCTATTTATTCTTTGGCGGAATGAACATAATATATTTTCATACATGACCTGTATTAAACAGTTATCCATTCTTAACCACCATGACACTAAAATGACTAAAATTACATAACAAAGCAAAGTCCAATTTACTTGAATCACAATATCTCTCAAAAATACATAAAGGAGAGATTTTGCATTCTGAGGCATATTTTGTCATTTTTCCATACCCCTCACACTCAGAATGTACAAGTCTGGAACTTGTACATTCTCTCCTTACCACCATACTATTTTAATTATAATTTCTTAATTATAGAAGTATTTTATGCTTGATTTTTTTATCATTCAGTATGGCAGTATTATGTTCAACAAAACTCAGGTGTGAAGAGATTAAAAGAGAAAGCAATGGCATAATTCGGTAGAAAATACATAAATAAAGCACGAGCAGCAAAGTATTCGTTTATTGCCTTAAGATAGAGAATGAGCTAAACTGCTGGGTAGAACTTCATAATTTGGGCATTGCAGGACAAGAAACAATGGATGGAAACTAATCAAGGAGACAAGCAACCTAGAACTATGGAGATATTTCCTGACAGTGAGAATAATTAAGCAGTGGAACAACTTGCCTTCAGAAGTTGTGGATATTCCAACACTGGAGATTTTTAAGAAGAAATTGAACCATTTGTCTGAAATGTCATAACAGGGGTTAGGACTAGGAAACCTCCAAGGTCCCTTCCAACTCTATTATTCTGCTACTTAAAATACTTGGCTTCAAGTCCTTGTGTGGTACACTTCTTAAGATGGTTTCTTATATAATAATGACATAGGGCAGGGATATTGTTTTATTTTTCCTATCCTAAATGTTATAAATCTAAAAACAACAATCTCTTAGAATAGAATTCTTTATTGGCCAAGTGTGATTGGACACACAAGGAATTTGTCTTTGGTGCATAAGCTCTCAGTGTACATAAAAGATATAAGTGATAAATCATGATCATAATCATCATGAATACATTCATCATGAATCATATGATACAACACCTAGTGATAGTCATAGGACACTAAATAAGCAATAAAAAATAATAAGCAATAAAAAATAAGCAATCTTGAATTGACCCTGGAAATAAATTAAAAAGTATATTGCCTAAGACAAGAATGGAAGACTTTGGGATATTTGGGAGTTGTACTTTACACATTTTTAGGGACGCAGTGTTTCAGTGGCAAAGACGCTGAGCTTGTCGATCAGAAAGGTTGGCAGTTTGGTGGTTCAAATCCCTAGCACCACGTAACAGGGTGAGCTCCCGTTACTTCTATCAGCTGCTGACAACCTAGCAGTTCAAAAGCATGTAAAAATGCAATTAGAAAAATAGAGACCACTTTGGTGGGAAGGTTACAGCATTCCATGTATCTTCGGCATTTAGTCATGCCAGCCACATGACCACAGAGACGTCTTCGGACAGCGCTGGCTCTTCAGCTTTGTACGGAGATGAGCACCGGCCCCTAAAGCCAGAAATGATTAGCACGTATGTGCAAGGGGAACCTTTACCTTTAGGAAGTCCAGTCAGGGACAAGGATTCTTAGTTCTAAATAAACCCCATCTTTGAAACCAGTCTGTTACCTTAGGAAATATTTTGCTTAAAAAGTTTTTTTCTGTGTTTTCATTTCTTCACATAAATGTTAAGCCTTTTTGCAGATATCATTATGAATCTCATGTTGTGAAGAGAAACAGAAAAGCTGAACAATCTCTGCAGGTAGCTGTGGTCATTGGTTTTCCCCCCTCAAATTTGTTTGAGAAGGCCAAGAATGCCACAGCAATTTATACCTTGTCACAATTTTGTACCTAATTGTTTATTCTTTTTGGAAAAATAGTCCAATAATCACTGTTTAAGAAAATCTGATTCCAATACAGCACTTTGTCACTCAAAAATCTCAACTAAGACATAACCAGCCTTTAACTATAATAGACAAATGAGGATTCCTTGAGAGCAGAAATCGGTTTTGTATGTGTAAAATGGTCTTCCTCCTTTATTTATTATATTCTCATTTTACTTCCCTTGTTATGGAGAATTTGGCAAATTTGGCCCAATTTCCAATGAGCAATAAGCCAAATGAAATTCCTGTATGTTATTTCTGTGCTCTGTCTAGACAGGGGAGATGAACCAGACTTGTAAAAACACCACATAGGCCAGATAGGATATGTGGCAAGTCTTGCTTTTATAAAATTACCAAGGTTATAATGGCTTGTTAGTTACTTGGTTACCTATTAAGTTAACTGCTTCCTTTCCTTTAGAATATCAAAGCAGCACATACTGTAAAGTGGCATTAATTTTAGATACTTTCATGGAGTACAGTGTTAAAATAGACTACAATTACATTTTCTCTGTTACATAAAGTTGACTAATAAGGAGACAACAACACTATCTATGATTCCATAGGTTTCTTGCCATGAAAAAATGTGCCTAAAATTTAAATTAAAAAAGCCCATTAATATACATCCAACAAAATTAAATGCTATCTCTGCCTTGTTAAAAGTAATCTCTGAATAAGGAATAGCTGAAATTGTAGAAGCGTTCAGAAAAAAATACATTCAAAATGTATCCATTTGCAAGGAAAGGAAATTAGAAAATGAAAAAATCAATTGAAGACCCTTCTAAAGATGTCTCACTTACTTGGATATAAAGATGGTAGACTCAAAAGTCCATTTTCTTTTTTGTTCCTGAGAGTATAACAAACATTTTTATGTGATTGTTTAATGCTGTATTCTGCAGGAAAAAACCTTCTGCAACAAACATGTGCACTGCATTCAGAAATAGTGTTATAATTTTATATACGTTAATAATTTCTACTTCCAAAGATTTAGAAACTGACTTTTTTCATCTGTACAGAACATTGAAAAAAATCTCATGGGGTCTATCCAAAATTCTTAGAGAACAACTTCTGGTTGACTTTGTTATACTAAAATAATATATTTAGATCTTATCTCATCACAGAACAATTCTAGTGTGGCATGAGTGCTAGTGGATTATATATAAGAAATGTATTCAAAGTTTTAAAACTCTATTGCTGTAGGCCAGGAGTGTCAAACTCAAGGCCCCGGGGCTGGATCCAGCCCACGGGGTGCTTAGATCTGGCCCACGGGGCTGTCCTGGAAACAGGGAAGGACCGACCTGCAGTGCCTCTGCCAGCAAAAATGGAGCTTGGGAGAGCCACACGCAGCCATCGCAAGCTCTGTTTTTGCTAGTAGAGGGTTGCAGCCATTGCAGCCAAAAATGGAACTCAGGAGCCTGTTTTCTCTGGTAGAATCCTCTGGCCACCACAGGTACCCCCAACTCGAAAGACATCAAGCTGGTGACACCCACCGTGGCCAAGCCCTTCCTGGCCCCCTGATGTGACCCTCAATGAAATCAAGGTTGACATCCTTGCTGTAGGCAATGAAAGTTTAAATGAAGTTTTTAATATAAATCTGTAATGAGTATTAAGTTTGAAATTTGAGAAATTGTCAGAAGAGGAAGAATCAGAAAAGAAAAAAAACAAACAAATTGGAATTAGAAGATTCAATTGACTATTACCGTAAACGTATTCTTTGGGTTTTTTTCTCCTAGATCTTTCAAGCCTGATTTTGTTCTCATCCGTCAGCACGCTTACAGTATGGCCTTAGGAGAAGACTTTCGCAGCCTTATCATTGGCCTCCAATATGGTGGGGTCCACAGTGTCAATTCACTTTTCTCTATCTACAATTTCTGCAGCAAACCTTGGGTGGTAGGTGATTTTTTTAAATATCCTCACATAAAATAAAAAGGGAGTTCTTTAGGTACACAAAGGAATTTGAAAGTCAACTTTTAGTGCAAAATATTTTTAAAAAACTTAAATCAAATTCTTTATCTTTAGCAGTAATGAAGATTTCAGTAAATAATACAGTTATACAATTTCTCAGCTGTTTAATCCATCTCAGCACAAAATGTCTCATTTCATCAGTTCTAGAAAATCCCTTTCTTCATCTTTAATAACATTGTCTATCCTGAAAGGGAATAATGTATAGCTGGGAATTAAGTCAAAAATATTTTTAGGGTATATGTTTTGTTTTGCTTTTTTTGGAAAGCTCTATTTTGAGGTTCTTTTTTAATTCTGGGAAATTCTAAATTGCTACCTCCATCACCCTATCTCAGGTTGTTTTCTTTACTAAAGAAAGCAGCTAAAGAACTGTCATCATAATAGTTTAAAAACTATAGAAATACACAGTAGTTATTTCTGCATGAATTCATTTTATTGGAAACATATAGTATTCAAATTCCTTGTCAAAGAAAGGACAGTAGCTAAAGTAAAAATATAAATGTGTAGAATGGCATTGCATAAAATCTGCGGAGAAAGAGGAAGATGACCTTGAGGAAGATATGCAAGCTCTGTTACTAAAGCAACAAAGGGTAAAACATATTATAAATCCACAAGGACAGAAAATATGCAGAAGAGGCCCAGGCAGATGTTTTCCTAATTCACAGGAGTATAAGAAGGTGGAGAAAGTACAACACAATCACATTTTCGGATTCCACTATTATAGCCACTCTCATTAAAAATAATTCATATGTACACAGAAAGGGTCTTCGTATGTGTGAAGGGCAGTAGTGGGATTCAATTTTTTTTACTATCAGTTCTATGGGCATGGCTTGTTGGGCGTGGTAGGGGAAAGACACAGTAAAATCTCCACTCAGAGGTGGTATTTGCCAGTTTTCTGAACTACTCAAAATTTCCGCTACTGGTTCTCCAGAACTGGTCAGAACCTGCTGAATACCACCTCTGGTGAAGAGTATATTTTTAAAGAGGTAAGATTAGGACATATATCTGTATTTATTCCTCCTGTTTTTCACTCTGTTTGATGGGTCTCTATAAGTCATCTAAGTCACGGGTGTCAAATTCGCCATGTCACTTGCCGTCACATGACATATCACAACATTTTCATTTCACAGAGCTTGGGTGGGCATGGCCTGCACATGACATATCTGCCCCACAGAACTCCAGTTTGACAGTCCTAATCTAAGTCATCCAAGAGAGCCTAAACACCATAATCACTGAGTTGAACATCACCTGACTGAGATGTGCTGACAACCTCACTACCCCGTTTGTTGTTAAACAAATCACTGTGGTTGTTAAGTAAAACATCACATAACCAAGATTTATGGTTTTACTTCTGCCTTCTCTATTAACTCTGCTTGTTGCAAGCCAATTGCAAAGCACACAAGTGGCAATCATGTGACCATGGGCTGCTGCACATGTATGGGCCATTGAGGAATGAGGCATTCAGAGGCTCTGAAACCTAACACTCTTCATCTAATTCCTTGGATTCAAGATCTGAGTAGTGGTGCAGTGGTTAGAATGTAGTATTGCATGCTAATTCTGCTGGCCGCTGACTGCCAGCAGTTTGGCTCGATCTTGACCAGCTCGAGGTTGATTCAGTTTTCCCTCTTTCTGAGGTCGGTAAAATAAGGACCCAGATAATTGAGGGCAATATGCTGATTCTGTAAACCACTTAGAGAGGGCTGTAAAGCACTGTGAAGCTATATATAAGTCTAAGTGCTATTGCTATCTCATCACTTTTACTTGTATTATTTAGTTGTATGCTGGGACAGATACACTGAGCCTGTATTTCAATTTATTTTATTTTATTTATTCCATTAATTTAACTAATCAAATTCAATTTGATTCAATCCTTATCTTCCCCACTTTACATAGGGTGGCCTTGGCATATCTAAGACCATGTGCAATTGCTTATGCCACCCACCCATCCAGATTGAACACTCTTGCTTTCTCTATATATTTTAAACAAATTCAGAGCAGAGATATAAACATATATAATTACAGAGGTCATCTGTCAAGACTCCAACTAATGAAACCAAGCAAATCAGAACTCTGAGAATAGAATCCTCCTCAGAGATCTTCTTTATAACGTATTGGCACTCCTTCCCCGACCTTATCCATTGCTAGTAGAGATGACCTTGGTTCCCATGAGAAAGCTCTCTGTTGTGTCTAGTGAGGCATTCCAACCTCCTTTCCCGCTTCTCCCTATGTGTGGCAACTGAGGAACAGAAAAATGGCTGCTGCCAGGTTTGATTCAAAGTTGACATCATCTTTGTGCTGGCATGCACACATACACGTTATGTATGTATGTGTTACAAAACTGAAATTTACAGATTATAAAATTAAATGCTGCATATTGTAATTCTACTAACCAGATATGCAAACATGGGACTCAGAACCTAGAAGATTGAAGAAAGATTTGTTCAAATTAGTGTCAGTGTTTCTATGTCAGAAAATAAAGCAATGATCACTAAAATCTTCCTGTGTTAATTTTTAATTTACGTGCTTTTTAAGAACATTTCAATGTTCATGAATATTGAAGACACAATTCTAATTGAATATTTTATTTAAGGCCTGTATCTATACATTAATCCCCAAACTTCTAGATATTTTATCATTTCTGATATATAGACTTGATTTAGACATGAAAAAAACAAAACAAAACGAAACAGAATAAAACCCCTTCGATACTTCAGTAGGTTACAATTCCCACTATATGCAATAAATTCTGTTTATTTTCCTTTATTGTATTCTAATTAGGGTAAAAATATTATCTATAAAATACTGAATTCTTTGTTGCACTTCCAATAAAATAATAACCATTAAAGCTTATATAGATCATCACCATGAAATATATTTCGTATCGAGTCGTCACCCTCTTGTGGGCATATTGTTAATGTGGATAGGATTGATATAGAACATATTGATGAAATTATCATTTATAATAATGTGTTCCTATGAATGAGCAATCATGCAGAAATCTGAACTATTTTAACTCCTTATTTCTCTTTTATTAAGCAAAAATAAGCTACAGAACTGCATATTTGCTAATCTATGTGAATATGGACTTTAGTTGGGGGGAGCTTGCTTTGATTTATATACTGTTTCATTAACATAGATAAAACAAGATTTTTGGCTTTGTTTTGTAATCAGATATTTCAGTTAGTTGTGAGAAGAGCCAGTCACTCACCCTCAGTACTAAAAAAGGAAGCAGTGGCAAACCACTTCTGAAACCTTGCCAAGAAAACTGCAGTGACTTGTTCAGGCAGTCTCCAGAAGTAAACACTGATTTGAAGAGACATGCACACAAAATCTTCTCTGTAATGACACGTGCCATTCCTAAAGATCACTATATAATTTTAAGATATCTTGCTATATCATTTCTGCATCTCTTTAGGTACACAGAAGATGAGCACTTTAATTTTCCAGCAAGGATAAAGCTCTGTGCAAAATATAATCCAAAATATAGTTAACTTCTTCCCATTATGTACTTGCAACCAGAAGCTGATCTGAAGTATGCACCTAAGCCAGAGGTGGTATCCAGCAGGTTCTGACCAATTCTGGAGAACCAGTAGCGGAAATTTTGAGTAGTCCGGAGAACTGGCAAATACCACCTCTGACTGGAGATTTTACAGTACCCTTCCCCTGCCACGCCTGCCAAGCTACGCCCACAGAACTGGTAGTAAAAAACTGTAGTGTGCTAGGCCCCTCAGCATGGACAACTCAAAGGCAGCTATAGCGATAAACAGTCGGTAGAGATTTCAGACTGGGATTGGAGAAATAGCAATCATATCATTTGCATAAACAGAAGATGGATGTTAGATGTTTGCTTGTTTAAACACAAAACCTGACATAATTTTAAGATTGTTTTATGTACGTGCAGGCATGTAACCAAAAGGATTTTCAGCAAGCATTATTATTGTTATTAATGTGTAGTTACAGAATGTATGATTGACAATCATACATTAACAAATATTTTGGATGAAACATGAGGCATCTGAGACATAACTCTTCATGTTTATTTGTATTTGATGTTTGTCCATTTTACAATATTGTTCCCAAGTGATTCCTCTTCTTCTTTTTTCCCTCCCTTCCTTCCTCCCTTCCTTTCTAGTTCTCTCAGCTAATTAAGATTGTCAACTCATTGGGTCCAGAGAAGTTTCCTCTTGTAGAACAAACATTCTTCCCAAGCCATAAGCAGATGGTAAGTAACTTGGTTTCTTTGTTTCAATGGTACAATGTTTTGCAAAAGGAACTGAGATTGCATAAATCACTATCCTACAGAGGCAGAGTCATGCCCCTTCATGGAAATGTTCATTCCACTTCCTTCTCATCAATAACTTTTATATACTTTCAGGCCTGGTTTATGATAGCCCTAATCTTCCCCAATATTTAGTTTCGTTATGGTTGCCAGTGCACACTCTTGATCAATGACTTATTATACTGTAATATAAAACAACACATTTCTCAGTATTATAAGGAAATATTGTTGCTGGCCACTGAGAAGAATGCAAGTGTAATGCAAGGACAGAGGATTATTAGGTTTCCCAGAAGCTTGACTACAATGTTGAACTTATGGATGTGGCAATGCATTGCCATATCTCCTGAATGATATCAGCATGTTATGTGGAACACATTAAATACAGATGTTGGTTGCTATGTTAGACTGTAAAGTTCTTATCTGAGCAAATTCAACATTCAGTCTGACACACGTGTGTGTGTGTGTGTGTGTGTGTGTGTGTACACAGAGAAAGAGACAGTGGGGGGAGCTAGGAAATAAGGAACTAAAGTACAGGATAACTTTATAATATATTTAAGGTTGTAACACTCCTGCAATGTCCATATTACTCACTGAAGCAAATTTGAAAATTGTCACTCACTGGCTCCCTTTGCAAAATTATTTGCAAAGTCCAATTTTCTTTTCTCATTATACAAAAAAAGAGTTCTTTACCAGTATTCCTCAAGTTTTGACCACTTGTTCAAATAGCATTCAAAATTACAACAGCACTTGAATGAGGGACATCTGCAACCAGTTAATGAAATTGCAGCCGTTGCCGTACCACTATGGTTACAGGATTGTTAAGTGTCCAGCTCGCAATTATATCACAGTGAACCACATTATAGTCATTTGTGACTTTTCCTGAAAACACAATGGGGAAGCAGTGAGAAGGTCCAAAGTCATTCCCATAGGTTGCTCCCAGGAAGTTGAAAGTTGCCTCTACTTTATCCACATTTCCCTTCCTATGGTCAGTCAGTGTAGAGAAAAAAAATTTCTTTGAAACAATGACCTAACCATTAATACTAATGGTCTAGTATGTTATTAAAAAAGATTGAGAATGTATCAAAATCTTTAAAAGGTTGTTTTGACTCATTCTATACAGAATTAGGCATAATAATCAGCAATATTATGAGAAGCAGCATTTCAACTTGTCTCTTTTGTGTTGACTTTTCATCTCATCTCTTTTGGGGGGGAGGCTGGTAGCCCTCCACCTCGGAGAGACTGCTGGACTTGGGGGGGACAGGGGACATATATTGGGCTCAACTGCCCGAAGGAAGTTGTGGGAGCACCATCACTTGAGACTTTCAAGCCTCCCATCTGTCAGAAATGGTGTAGGGTCTTCTGCTTGGGCAGGGGGTCGCACTAGATGACCTTACAAGGTCCCTTCCAACTCTGATTATCTGTTATCTCTTATCTGATTGATAGCTATTACCAGTTTGTATTACCATGTTGCTCAGAATGAATAATAGGCATGGGTAGATAATATTAGTAATATTACATGGTGCAAGAATAGAAGGACCGAGTATTGGAAATACTGAGACTTTATTTAATTTTTCTTACTTTTCCCAGTGGCTTCCACAGAATCCAATTTCATTAAAATAACAAAATAAGAATTGTAACCTCTGCCCCTTTTGTGCATGGATGAGATGTCATGATGAATATACAAGGGAAGCTTGCATAGCAGCAGATCAATGCTTCATTTGGAATTATCTTGACCCTCCCAATTATTTCCTGCTATCTCCAAATTCTCTTAAATTGATTGTCATGTTAACTGGATATGAAAGAGCAGGGGTGTCAAACTCAATTTCATTGAGGACCACATCAAGATTGTGTTTGACCTCAGGGGGATGGGGTGGGTGTGGCCACTCAACATCACTCACGTCAGGAGTGCAGGTGGTTGCCTGAGCACTCTGTTGGTGAAAACAGGCTCCCGAGCTCCGTTTTCAGCTGCAACAGCCTCCTGCAACCCTCTGCCAGTGAAAACAGAGCTTGGGAGGGCTGCATATGACCCATTTTCACTGGTAGAGGCACCATGGGCCAGTTCTTTGCTGTTTCCAGAGCGGCCTCATGGGCCAGATCTAAGCACCTTGCAGACCGAATCCAGCCCTGGGCTTAAGTTTGATACCCCTGTGATTAACATTGCTATATTTAAGCTTAAAACAGTAAATCAAAAATATTAAATAACGTTTTAGTTTAAGTCTTCAACAAAAATCTATTGGCTATATTTTAAAAAAACATACATTTAAACTTTTTTAAAACACTAAAGGGTTGTCAAATCCACCTACATATATTTAGGTGAATTCATATAAAACATAAATATTTTAGAGTCAGGCATTTCTGGGCAATGAAATGTATACCCTTATTCAAGAAGCAAAATATGTTGTTTTCTATTTTTGTCTCAATAAGGAAAATAACATGCAATGAAACAAAAATGTATAAAAATGTTCCTTCCTTGGAATTATTTATTTACATTGTTCCAGGACTTCCTTCTTTTATTGCTTGAGTCCATTCATAATTTGCCCTCGTACTGGGCTATCAATGGTAATGCTGTTAAGCAGGTTTTCCATTTTAAGTATTTAGGTATTCAATTTCAGAACACTGGTGCTTGGACTAGACATCGAACCCAGGTGCTGAATTCGGCCTCCTGTAGTCACCAGCAGATTTTAAGATTTTTTTATACCCAAGGAGGCCAGTTTATTCCTTCTGCTCTGCGTATTTACAAAGCCAAAACTTTGGATCAAACTCTTTATGGAATTCCCATATGGATATGAGGCTACAATGATTGTATTGAAAGAACCCAGGCTGTCTTTCTTAGAAACTTCTGGGTCTTCCTCCTTGTGTTGGCTTTGCTCCGATGTACCTGGAACTGGGCACTTGATCAGTCGAATGTATGGCGTGGATTAACACCTTTAAATGGTGGTTTCGGGTGCTCTTTCTGGCAGCTCTGTGGCATTTGCTCTCATATTTCTCGTTGGGAGAGGGAGCTGATGAAGAAATTACACCGGCTAGGTTTTATGGGGGATGCCCTGGGAGATTATGGCCTTAAAGATGCCCAATTTAGGGTAGTCCAACGGCTTGTGGACATTGACTTGCAATATCTATGAGCCAGAGCGAACAAAACTTGCTCCCCTCTGATCTTCAGCCAATTTAATAATTACGGACTGAGGATGGTTTCCTATTTTTACACTCTAACCATTCCCAAGTATAGAAGAGCTTCCTCCCTAGCTCGCTTTAATGTCTTGCCCTCAGCACTACTGGATGGGCAATTTAAGAGGCTCCCGATTAATGAGCGGCTATGCCCCTGTGACAGAGCTGAGGTTGAAACTGTGGAGCATGTCCTTTTATATTGCCCTATGTATAACGCAGACAGATCTAAGTTACTGTCTCTCCTTGAAACAGACCCTTCTAGACCCAATGTTAGTAATTTGTTCTTATATTGTCTAGGGGATGGCTCCTCATACATCACTTCTCATGTTTCCAATTTTTTTTTAAGAGCTGTAACCATCAGAGGAGAACACTGTAATTCTCCTTAGTCAAGTTTTTGGTGACCAATTGTTCATGACTAATTTTCCCATGTCCTTCTTTTGTTGTACTTGTGTTTTGGTCTGTGACCGCAAAAAAGTATTATTATTATAATTTGCCCTTGTAAATTTCAGGAATACAAATCCGTAAAAATTACATGCTCTTGATTCCGTCAGTGCTACATTAGGGAAATGGTTTAATTTAGGATCCATACATCTTTTTACATTACTGTTAGAGTGGAATTTCACTCTGGGATATACTGTACTAACTAAAGTAACTTTTAAGAACTTGTTTTAAATACCTATAATTTTTCAGGAACTCTGAATAAGGCAAATACCAAAGCTATTTTTTTCCTCTATAGAAACTTTATGTTAGCATCTACAAGAGTGACTAAATAAAAGTTCAAGATGTATTGCTTTGGCCAGGAATATGCAAATATTTTCAACCTGAAAAGTTCCATCCTTAAAACATTTCAAATGCTTGGAACTGAATAATACTAGAACAAAATACTTGTTTTTAAGTGACACCAGTTTAAATGTTCTGAACACAATGGTTGGGCTGCTCTATGTAGCCTACTTCAGCCTACTGAGCAACAGAAACAAATCACGATCTTGCTACTAATGGTTGGGTTGATAAGAAACTGAGTGTGGAGAAAATAGTTATATTCATCCACACTGCCAGATAGAAGACCACTTGCAACAGCATACCTACCAGACATTACTAATGTTTTTTAAAGTTATCTACAGTATTTCATTTTGTAGGTAGGTAATTGCTCATATGCTATTCTATTTCACACAAATAGTGCTAATAATGTGTAAATGGGAAAGCTGGGAATAATTTAGGTTGGTGATTTATTGCGATTTGGTTATTCGTGTGCATGCATTCAACTTAAATATGACAAACATAGATAAAATTTGCCTGTAAAAAAAGACTATCTGATGCATATCAGCAGCGTACTTGCTGCCAACAATATTCAGCTGGATACCTTTTTATAGAGCATAATAAGTTACAACAGAGATGATAGAATATCTGTGGTAAGAAATAAAACACTTTATTGTTTAGAATAAAAGTACACTATAAAAAGTGAACATTATTACCTTAAAAGACAATATACATTCAATGAATATAAAATTTATAAATAACAAAACAAGGAGGAAAACTGTAAACAGTGCTACTAAACTAAGCAAAAAGTACATTCCTTTTGGGAGGAGTTTTCTCCTAGATTGTATTTATTTCCGCTCTAATGTTCATAATTGCTAACAATGGTAATGCAAAAAAACAAAACAATTTTTACACCTTGGTCCTAGGCCTGTTTCTACAAAAAAAAGAGTTGAAATCACTAGGTTTATTATTAAGGTATAAATAGAATTAAATCCTAATTCTGCGGTCATATGCATGCTTTT